TGTTCTGAGATATTGTTTAATATCTCAGAATGGGTAAAGTTTAAGAAATGAAATGTGACACTAGCTTGCATATAAAGGGGCATTAATATTAATAAATTTTGGTTCATAAAGGATTGACAGGGTGAAGACATAAAAGTGGTCGTATGTCATATCTCTTAGTGAATATTTTACTCGTTATTAGCATTCAAAATTTAAATAAAAAAATAAAATTTGTCTCTACCCTCAAAGTAAGCTTTTTTTTTGTCATTTTATTATAGTACAGTAAAACCTGTTAAGATGTTCTCGCCTAAGATGTTAGAAATGTGTATGGGACATGATTTAGTTCAACCACTTTGACGCTTAATAACTAGTGTGTTAAACCATCTGACTCCAATTCTGACCACTGACCACAGAAATTAAGCTTCAAACAGGGAGAACAAAATCATGCCCCCCCACACAGTCTAACATCCACACATAGAAAAATCCTCGAATCTTTTGTATATCTCAAAATTTCAAGGTGTCCTGAGTCCAAAAATGTAAAAATTTGGGAAGAGTCAATTTTTGACAGAGTGCTACACTTTCCCTCTGTTATATATAACAGCTGGAAAAGCAAAAATTATCGAATACATATTTATATATTACTTAGAGGAGTCTTTTAGCTTTGGAATAAAAAGCTACGCTCTATCTTTATTAGAACTCTATTTATTGAATCTTTTATTCTGAGGTCACGTGATGACATCAGAATTTCTGGCTGTCTTTCGATAACATGTCCGCCCCTGGTTGGTAAATTTTTATGCGACTCCACACCCCTGCTCATCACCCAAATACCATTGACCGTCCTAAAGGAGTTTCTCAAGATTTGGACATGCTACATGCCAAATGGGGTGGTTCGACTTGCTAAGAAACACAAGTTCTGTTGATCTCTGTCACCACATCCATTTTGACATCACCCCAGGCCCAAGCATTGTCCAACAACTTATTATACTTGTGGAGAACCGGGGCATTAGTCACGGAACTGTTTGATACCCTGGAGGACTACACTGTTTGTGTCAACTTACTTGGTGATTGGAGAAGACCAGAAGTGAGGATGGAGCTTCTCAGGAAGGCAAAAATCCTTTAATGAGGTTAATCCTAACAAATAAGGCTTAATTCTCATCAATTTCTTTTTTTGATAGTAATGTTCTCGTTACAGCCTGTTTTTATGATGGAGCCAATTGTTGATCATAAACCAGAGGCTATGGATCAAGGTAAAAGGCAAGAATCCAGGACCTGGATTCATGAACATCTCTCCAATAAGGTAAGATATGATACAGTATCTCTTCAATATTGTAAATTTACCAGAAACTAATGATAATTTACATTTCATATTCAAAAACATGTGACATTTACTCTCATTACTAATCTCTTCTATTTTGTTGTAAGTCTTATGACATCACTGGCAATCACTTCCATTTTAATAGAGCCAACAGGATGGCATTGGTGTTAGTGATGTATTTTTAGAATTTTCTTGCATCACTAGATATTGCATACATGCAATATCTGAGGAAGAACATTTTATTTCATTAGAATTAAAATGGGTAGGAATTACTTTTTGGAAAATTATTTATATGTCTAAAGGATTTAATTAAGACTTCTTTCATTACAATCAGGCTAACATTTAAAAAAAATATTTCAAAAATAAGCATTATGGTCTTCCAAAATGACTACAGCTAAAGTTCAAATTGAAGGAAACATTGATGGAATGAAGACATTGGACTGTTTAAATATGAAATTTCCATAGATTTACTCCTGTATGCTGACTCAGTTTTGATTTTAATTTCAGTTGTTATAAATTTATTGCCACTGATATTAACGGATAAATTTTAACAATTTTTATTTATATCTTTTGATAGACTTTAGTTTATAATGAAAAGTTACAACATAAACTACACATTTTTCTGTGTACCCAATTTTGTTGTGTTTCAATAAAGTGTTTGCTTATAGCAATAGTGTTTTACTTCTCCATATATATATATGGAGTAAATACAAATAATAAACAAATAAAATATTTGAATTTTTGAAATAAGATCATCAATAAATAGTTGTTCTCTAGGAACATTTAATTAATAAGACAGCTGTCAGTTAATATGACATGTAATATATTGCAAAATGGCAATTTTTTAAAATCCTGTTACTGCCAGATTCAATTTCAATTAAACATTCTGATATCAAAGCTTTAAGAAAGGATAATATGGAGTAGTGATATAAAACCAATATTTACTACCCTTCTTGTTTTCATAAACACAAAGTGCAGTTTTTTACTTATAATTCCATATTGCGTATCTTTGTTTCCTCTGAATTTTGATTGAAGAAACTTATAAATTTTTTGAAAATGTGGGTAAAATTTGTAATAAACACTTGCTACAATATGCTTTTTTTTTTTTCAGCTTTTTAAAGCACCCCATTTTAGGCACCAGGAAAAATTGGTGACAAATGCCAAAGGCTTGGAATTTGGCCCCAAATTTTATTACTGTATTACCATGTTACCACTAAAGCTCGAAACTCGTTAATCTGCAGATTACCTAGCTAATCCACAGATTAACTAGCGTGATCCGTTAAAGTTGTGAGAATTGTTCCATTTCTCAAATTACCTAGATAATGTGCAGAGTATCTAGGTAATCCGCACATTACCTACTAGGCACTCGGTAAAGTGAAAATAAGATCTTTGCCACAAATAAATGTACTACAAATAGGTGTGCTTGTCGCAGAAACCAATTGCTATGAAATTCAAAGTGTCACCAATCTTTAGACTGCAC